GATAAGGTTAGGGGACTAAGAAGGCTTGGCTGTTTTTGGAATGCAAACTTGCACTGATATCAGCCTCCTGTAAGCCTCTGTGCATAAGAAAATTGAAAAACTGGGAGCCAGGACACAATACTAAAAGGCACCATGTGCTATAGTACGTATGTGCTGCCAGGAAAAGAGCAGTATATATTCAGCTGATGCTATGCTGTTCAATCACTGCAAAGGGCAGTTAGGTGACCAAACTAAGTAATTGCAGCAGAAATGAAAAAATAGGTTAGGTTAACCAACTGACTTCACAAATCTCACCACTCATACCCATGCAAATTCCTTGGCAGGTAAAACAGCTGCAAAACATATAGAAGTATAGACCTGTTTACCTGGAGATCAGTTTTCATGGCAGGAGGGCTATAGCACATGAGTGCATGGTCAAACACTGTACTACTGATATTCAATAAACACTCAATGCATCTAAAATGTCTATGACTATGGAGTTCTCGAGAAAGTAACTGTACCTCATGCATGCTCAATACTGCCACATTAAAATTCTCTGGTAAAAAAAACAAAACAAACAAACCTAGTATCCTGTAGCTAAAACATAATGTGGCAATGAATAGTCTCTGGCAGGCCAGCAGCCGTTGTCCCACTTCTCAAGCTGTTCAGAAGCTGATCTGTGCAGCAAACAACTCTCCAAAACAGCTCAGCTGCAAATCCATGGATTCTGAGTAGGCAGCATTCTTTTCCAATGTTAACCAGCTTCTTAAAACCTTCTGGAAGTTCCAGTGAGAAATCTCAGCTTAAATGATTCAACTCCACAGCCGTACTATGCCACAGGAAGATCTGTGCATGTATACTTACATTCCAGTTAAAGTGGTTGTAAACCCTTACCCACAACCCAGCAAAGTGACTGGCTTCAGCTGATACACAAAAAGTGAAACAAATCCTCCTACTCAAGGTGTACCTGTTTATTTGCAGCCATTTGTCCTGTAAATCCTTGTAAAACTCATATGAAAAGGATTTTTTAAAGACTCGCAAAGCAGGGGGAGGAGAGTTGCAGTTACACACTGTATAAGCGTTCTGGGAGCTGATTTGGATTGGAGGGAAAGGACACACCCCCCTTCACACAACACAGGAACAGAGCAGAGGCTGTCAATCACAGGCTGCGTGCTGGAGCTCCCTCCAGTCACCCTTTTTACCCCTTGATGTCAGGAAAACATGTTAGAAGTGACTTATGCTGATAGAGGAATTTGACAGCAGAGATAAATGACACTTAATGGTTTGGAGAGAGTCAAGTACACACTATAGTTCAGATTTCATGTCTGAGGTTTACAACCAAAAGTCCAGCAATTCTCAAATAGTGAAGATATATCATTCATATAGAGGCTGCAAACAACTTCATACTAATGGGGGTGGATTGTATTGATTTTTATATAGATGGATTATTTTCACAACTAAATGTGACAAGTATACAGAAAAAAAAACCAACACATTGAAAAGCAAAAAAAAAAATAATAATTTCCACTACTTGATAGACATTCCAAGGCAGAGTGCATTGCAATATACTGGGTCTCCTTTTTGCCTGAGCCATTTTACTCACAAGGTGCAATTAGCCTTTAATGATACCATGGAAAGGAACACTAGTGTCATGGCAGACTACAACTCTGTAGTATCTTGCAGTTAAATGCCTGGTACTGCCTTTGGTAGTTCAATGATGCTTGGCTCCAAGCACTGGATGGAAGTCTTGGAGGTGCTTGATATAAAGTAACCCTGTCAATATGGGGTCCCAAGTAAAGTAAAGGCAGCCTGAAGAAGAGGATCCATACGTAACTCCCTCTGCCCTAAAACTTTGCTGCATTGCAGATCTCTGGACACTGCAGGTATCGGACATTCTAGTTGTGTCAAATAACTGCTGTGCACTGTGGTTCCTCCTGTAAGGACATAGGAGCCAGTGAGAGGAAACACAACGTGCAGCAGTTATTCAACACATCTAGAATAGTCAGACCCCTGAAGCAACTAGAGATCTGCAGGCCACCAGGAAGGCAAGTATACATCATCCTACTTTGGACCCAAACACGATAGTTGTAATGAGCCAATATGGCAGGCTTCCTAAACCAAATGAAGCAAGCAACTGGTTGGCAAGACAAATGTATTTCAATGTAAACAGGCCAGAATTGCTGAACACACCACCAAAAAGAAGGTAGAGAGGACAATGTGATACCATTATAAAGGTCCATTCTACCCAGCTGTGCAGTTTAATTTTTAGAAAAGTACACCAAGCAACAAGTAGGCACGTGTTCAATAAAACATTCTTCTCACATGAACAGAAAGCCAGATGTGTTGAAGTCCTCACACAAAACCACTGATGTTATCCTTAGCTTGAAAGACATCAACTGAGATAGGTACCCCTTTGGTGGGCAGCAACGTTATGGCTTTAGTACAGACAGACAATTCATGTTCTACTTAGCATGTGAATAACCACACACGCTGTAACTTAAATAAGAAAAACATTGCAAGGTAAAAAAAAAAAAAGTGTATTCTGATGAATAATGATAGTCAATCTCTTAAAGCCAACATTATATGTAAATAGCCAGATTTGTGGCTAATGCCTTGTAACTCATCCTATAAAGCAATACAACCGTGCAAAGATGATTTGTGAAGGGAAACAACAAAGGCAATATATTAGCAAGAAAGGTTTCTGGTAATCAAAATAAATATGAAAAAAAATGACTTAAGCACGATCCACATCTGAATGGCTTTACAGTTCAAAATGCAAAGCTCAGCAAGTCTGATCAAGACTCAGTTTTTAAAATACTAACAAAAGATTAAAAAATGCAAACTAATGGTTTTTCTTTTTTCTGCTTACCAATCAGTTAAAATCCAATGGAAACATCAAAAGACAAAACACATTTTATTTCACGCTTTTAAATGCATAGAATCCACAATATCTTGTTTTTGTTTTCTTTATTTCCTTAACATTTAAGACAAACCATTAAGAAAATACATTTTCATAATAATGTGAAAATGCTTTAACCAAAGCTGAGCTATTACAATTGTAAATATGACATTAAAGAAAAAACAAAATAATTCTGTTCTAGTTATACATGTACTTTGGTAAGGCTTAGTTTTTTTTGTTTTTTTTACACGCTTTACTCTGAAAAAAAGAACACAAATTTTAAGCGGCTTTAAAACAGAATTACAAAGCTAAGCAACGCAAATTAAAATAAATGTACATGCAATACAAAATGATTGGAAAAAGGAGGGAAACACTACTGTATTATTTACATTTCTCATATGAAAAACTGTTTGTCGTGAATCAACCTTGTAGAGCACTGCAGTGCTTTTACAAACTGTACAACCGTAATGTTGTCATTAGGCAATTTCCACAATATTACACCCAATGTCTGAAATTTACCTGGGACAAAAAACCCAACTCACATCAAAGTATAAAAAGTCATGTTGCACATTTCGACATTGGCATACATTTTATTAACAGAGAACATAATTTATATACAGTCAGCATTCAGATGCCAAACTTGGGGTAGCACCTCCATGTGGATTGATGAAAGCTTTACAAAAACAGACACAAAAGCATGGAAGGAGAAAGGAAATCTGCAGAGCAACCACCTTTTTCATTCAGCATTTACAATCTTTTCAGCATCGAACAAAAGCATGTTCAGTTTCTACACTGCCATCACTCCAAAGATCAACAGATTGCACAAAACAATTGTGAAATTTAACAAACCAAGGGAATGAAAGCTTTGCCACTGGCTCACAGATTTTCACTGACCAGTGGAACCGGTCTACTTATCAAATGAAGACAGATATACAAATTGTTAATCATTTTGACAAAGACCAGTTAAAAGATCAACTAAAGATATTACAGCAGCTTTAAATATATGTCTTGATATAAAAAGGCAATATTGTATACCTTTAATATCACTTTGATTAAAGTACCAGCTGGTTACAAACGGTTTATTTAGAAAATGAAGTTTGCCACTTCTGAAAATGTTTAGGCTGTCATACTAAAGCTCTTGCTTCAATTTTTTTAAAATTTAGGATACAGTCACACCAGCAATTTAGGCAAGTGTGAATTATAGCAGTGGGAATCTTAGGATACCTGCTTCGGCTAGGTGCAGCCGCCGACCCCATTCACTATAATGGCAGATCGCTGGAGGCTGCAGCTATTCGTGGTTCTATTCACAGCCAGCAAATCGCTAACAGTGATCGCTGCTGGGAGCACTTTATGCGTCCAGCAGCAATCGCAGCAGGTAATGACTGGCAGTGTGGACAGCCGGAAAAATACCTCTGGCTGCCGGTAAACAGTCAGTCATTACAGCAGCAGGGATCCTAAGATTCCTGACGCTACAATTCATGCTGGCCTAAATCCCTGGTGTAAATGTAGCCTTAAAGGACTAAAAGTATATAACCAGTAAGGTTGGGGTTCCTCATTTGCCTACTGATTTCAGGCCAGTGACTTAGAAAATATTGTAGCCACAGATCAGTTTCAATCCCCTTTTTTCACCTGACATGGGAGGGATTGCATGCATAACTATTCACAATTTCCTTCAAAAGATTGTGGCAAAATGTTATATCACACCAACAAAAAGGAGCTACAAAAGAAGTCATAATAGAATATCCTCATCTATAATTCAGATTACGCAAACTTTGACCAGGAATATCAGATTAAAACGGAAAAAACAATGCAAACTTTGTACAAATTTGACACCAAATTTCAATGTTTTCATTTGGGAAAAAATACAGAACACAACATGATTTTATTCATGTGTGCCTTGTCAGAATAACACTGTCAAAAAAAGAGAGAAAAAAGCCCCCCTAATGTTACTTTTGACCAAAGCAATTTAAGCATATACAATATTTGCTGCAATGATTAGCAAACAGTTGTTCAATACACACAGGTCACCATGTAAAACAATACGGTGCAATCTGCTCAAGTAAACTAAAAGTATATGTCAGTCACAGTTTTTAACATCTTGTTCACCCCTAAATTCAATAATCTAACCCAATGCAAGCTTAACTTTCCTTGCTCCTATTGGCCGATCATTTAATTCCACCACAGCTGCCATCGCTTCATCGCGGGATTCAAATGCCACCAGGGCTTCACCGGTAGGCATACCCTTATCGCTATATTTTAAACACACAGAGCCAGGTATCAATTGATAGCCATAAAAGAAATCCAGAATTTCATCTACAGAAACTGTGAAAGGCATATTCTGAATTCTAATTACTGTGGGACCTGGTTTTCCAGACCCAGTGCCAAAACCTGGAGGACCACCGATTTGCAGATTTCCTGGCCCAAACCCTGGAGGAGCATTTAAAACCCCAGGACCACTTAGGTTTGGAGGTGCGGTGTTAAAGTTAGGAGGTGGATTTGTACCAGAAGGACCACTTCCAAAAGGTGGGGGTCCATTGCCAAAACTAGAAGGAGGAACACTGAAATTACCAGGGCCACTTCCAAATCCTGGGGGATCAAGTGGTGAATTTGGTACGTTAGAAGACCCTGGTGGTGGTGGCCTTGTATCTACAAAGCCACTTCCTATTCCAGGTGGTGGGACAGGTGGACCAAAATTACTGCTTGGTCCACTGAATTTACTAGAGAAAGGAAAATTTTGACCATTGTTCTCTTTCAGGCTGCTGCTACCCAAGAAAGCAAATTCATCTCCACTGGACCTCATTGTATCGGGTGGGGAATTGCTATAATTTTGCATTTTAAAACTCTTTCTCCCTTGAATAGGAGGATTGCTCTCAATTTCTTTCCTCTCTTCATTATTTATTATACGCACAAAAGCATCTCTCCCATTAAGCTTCTTGCGATTCAAGCGCTCAGATTTGCGGGCATCATCTTCACTCCTGAACTGAACAATAGCCTGTCCTAAACCTTGACCATTGTTATCGATCAGAACTTGTACACCGTTTTCCTCCACTGCAATTCCTTCTAAATGAAAGAACTGAAATACATCCTTTCTAGCGATGTTATAAGGTAGATTCGAAAGATGTGCCCACAGCCTAGGCACATGCTTATCTAACACCATATCAAGAGGGGAATCTTTATGGTCAATGTAATTGTAACTTTGTATTTTTTTCCTAATCGTTTCTATCTTTTCTACCATTTGGCCTTTATTAACCGGGTGAACTTGAATAAAACGATTGCCCATATATTGCTTATGCTTGTTCAACGCAATTTTATAATCTGCCTCGTTTCTAAATTCCAGAAAACCTTCACCAGTTGCTTTTCCATTGGGTCCATAAGCTATGTAGATACTGTCTTCAATAATGTCCAGATTTTTAAAGAAATCAATGATATGCTTGTTTTCTGCCTCATAGGGTAGCCCTTTCAAAAAAACACAAAAACCATGCTCATGGGGGGATCTCGACCTTGAACGCTGCCGAGTGCTGGGAGATTTAGATCTAGTATGAGACTGCTGCATAATATGTGAGGGTCCATGGGGGCCTGCACTTGATTTGCCAATGTTCCCACCAGACATCACCCACTGTCTCTCAGATGCTGGGGTGACTTCAACAAAACGCTGTCCCATCATCATTCTATTCCGTTTTAAAGCTTCAAATGTGTCATGTGGTGTTAGAAGCTTCACCACTGCGCTACCAGTGAAGCGACCCATGGTATCTTTAATAATAACGACCCCATCTACACGTAAGCCATGAAAGAAGTCCCTGATATCTATTTCTGACACTGGAATAGGCAAGTCATGAAGGGATACATATGGATCATCATGATTCAAAGGGGGAGGATGTTTGACTGCATTCTGAGAACTCAAAGGCATTGGATTTACAGGACCAAGAAACAGTGGATTCATATTACTCATTTGTGAACCAGAACCATTCATTCCTGTAGGCAAAGGTCCAACTCCTACTGGTGGTGGATTCAAAGGTGGCATGCCAGACAGTGGAGGGAGAGCACTTATGGGTGGGACTGGTGGAACAGGTGGTATTGGAGGGACGGGAGGCACTGGAGGTAATGAAGATACAGGAGGGGGTACAGGTATAGGGGGTATGGAAGGCATTGGTGGCAGTGTGGGTATTGTTGGCATTGGAGGAATTGGAGGTGGTGGTACAGCAGGCAGCTGAGGAGCAACACTGGGCATAGGAGAAGAAAATGTTGGATTGCAAAAAGCCGCACCTAAATTTGGTGGAGCATTTCCAATATTGGCAGTAGAAAAAGTTGTGACATTCTTAGTACTATCATGTACTGTAGTAACTGTAGAGACTGTGCTTGTGGAAGGGCTACTAAAATTAGGTACAGTTGTTGGCAAACTGACCCGGTTCATTACAGTGCTACTGCTGCTCATTGCTGGATTAGGTGGAGGTCCAGGACGGTTAGAACTTGCAGGTGGAATATCAACATTAGCAGTTTCAAAACGCCTACGGCTAAGTTCAATCATGTTCTGCATTTCGGTCTTACTGCTCAACAACAATGAAACTTTTGACCCTTTGATTGTGCCACCTGTGCGCATCATGCCAAGTCGTGCATCTTCATCAGTGGCAAATACGATGAAAGCCTCACCCTGTTCACCCCCTACAATATGTACTCCACCATCAGGAATGGTTAATCCAGAGAAGAAGTGACGAATGTCCATGGTCCCAGCCACTATAGGCAGACCTTGCAAACGGATGACCACAGCCATGTTGCGCTGTAACAACACACCTGCAGATGAAAAAAGGCAATGTCCACATCAGACTCAAGAACCGTACAATTATACCTTCAGCCTAAATTGTGCGCCTTGCAGTTATAGCTTGTGTGCAGAGAAGTTTTAAAATATATCATTCCAACAAATCATTTTAAACAGTCAATGGACAATATGTTGGCTGTCCAGGCAAACCCAAAATATACATTAAATGATGAAGCAATCAAAATGACATTTGGGTGGAGGCAAATCACCAAAGATTACAATAACATGTTACAGCCTAAATTCAGTAAACTTTTTTTTTCAAAAAAAAAAAAAAAAAGTACACGGAACAGTACTGGAATGTCCCATGCGCTGATGACACTATTTGAAATCCGAAGTCCTCTGAACCCCCTTATCCCCACAGCCTTTATCTTTAGTTGCTGCAGTGGTAATAACGCCAAGGGACAAGTGACAGGTACATACCAAGAGTGCCAACTATGCTCGCTCTTTTTACACCACTTTTCTCCATTCACAGAAGCTGTACTATAGCTTCTATGAATGGAAAGCTTTGAATGGAGGCGGCAGACCTTTCATTCATCCACCTGTCCTCCATCCTCATTGATGGGAGCTATAGTACAGCTCCTATGAATGGAAGGGGGCATAGTCAGGACTCTTGAGTGCCTGTTATGGGTCCCTTGTCCCTTATCTCAGGTAGCAGTGGAAGATTACCACTGCGGGGGTGGGGTTTAGAGGACCTCAGATTTTAAGGCAGTAGTCATCAGCAAAAGGGACACTTCACAGTGATAGTAAATACTGTCCCTTGTGCATTTTTATTTTTGCTTTAAGTCTAAAATTGAGGCCTTAAGTATTTTTCTTGCTGTAATACAATACATAATAAACCATAATGAGCGTGCCTAGAATTTTCCTCAATCTGCTTACAAGTAAACATTAAACTTATTTTGCATATGTTGGTTATTAGATCACAAAAGTCAGCATCACCTTCTTCTATACAATTACCTTTTCAAGAGTTAATCTTAAAAAAATGATTTGGGCAAGTTTCTAAATAGGAATTGGAAGGGAAATCGTTTCAATGGGGAAAGGGGGTTGTTGGATGGAACATTGTACCCCATTTCTAGGATCTCCCCCTGATGAAAATTTGGATCCATACTAGCAATATATCAGATGGTAGTAGAGTAGGCAGTGTGTAAAGCTGGTTGACAATCTGTGGACTTTTTCCAAGGCTGAAACTCTGGGCAATGCATTACTTTAGAAGGGAATCTAATTTTAGAATGTAGATAGCACAGTGAACCATTAGGATTTAAGGGGCTCATTCACACCACTCTGTAATGGTAAGCCACATCATTAGGTGTTTTGTGGTGCCATTCACTGTGAACGTAGCCCTGTCACATCTACATTGCAGCTTACCAAAAAAGAATGCCTTGCTAGGAAAAATTCAGCAGGTTAAATTATTTGATCTGCTGTGGTGTATTTAACAACCTGAATAGTTTTAAAAGGGCCCCAACAAATGACTTGCAGAAGGATGTAAACACTGCAGTGGGTCACAATACAGAAGTATGTATCTGGGGCAAAAAGGATAAGTGCTTTTCTACCACTTATGCTTTAAAACATTTGGTTTCCAATTATGAAGTCCACATGTAGATATCTGTAGTGACCTGAAGTGAGGGAGCAGATAAACTAACCAGTCTATTTACTATTCCTCCATTTCACTGACAGAACGTGAGTCTATTGCTCCCTGTCTACGAGTACACTGAACCTCCATTAATGCTTGGGCATTTTTCTTTAGTAAAATGTGTATTTAGCGAAGGAACAACCAACCAGCTATTCTTTATGCAGCCCAAATCAACAAAATCTGACATTTTGTGCGCTTGCACATTGGAGCCACAAAGAATGTCAACACACAAAAACCACTTTTATCATTCATTTCTACTGAAAGGTTTTCTTGAAGACCCTCACAAGAAAAAAAATGCATTAATAAGCACATGTACTGAATTCATATAGCAAAAGTAGGGAAGGAAACCTAGCAGTTTATGCACCTAAAGAAACTGTACAACATTTTTTCAGAAAAACAAAAAAGAAAAAAATGTAGTGTAAAAAATGCTAAACGCATCAGATAAAAATGACTATAAAGTCTACCATACAGATATTTTGTGGGCATGTCACTACAAACAATCCAGTTATCAAAAGTCTTTTCTCATCTAAAATGACCACTCTGTAGTTAGCATAACTTCTACATGCATCCTTTACGTGAACTTCAACGTTTATTTCTTTACTTCGGCTACATTCACACTTCTTTGTTGCGGCAACGCAAGCAAAATCACGTGCTTTCCCGCAAGTCACAAAAGCGTGCAGACATCCTGCAGAATGGAAGCGTTGGCATCAATTCTTAATGCCACCCCCACGCATCTTGCTAAAGCACACACCAAAACCTAGTAACAAAGTACCATGCATTTTGGTACAGTGTAATTTTTAAAAAGGGTAAGGCACTTTTGCATGCTTCTCATACACAGTTGAAGTTGCATCAGAAATCATTTATGCCAATAGACTGCCCAACACGTGTGTAAACAGAGCCGAACAAAAGATAAGCATTCGAGTTGAGCTTTGAATGTCTGTATATCTCCATTTAATTTCTAATTACGTTTGGTGATCTAATGTTATCTATTGCAATGCTTTCTGGTACACATACAACTGTCACAAATGCTTGTAAACAAAATCCTATAATATTTTGGATAATTTTTCTTTACATTTTTAATGAATCTGTAATTTACCCATGTAAGGTTTAATGAAGACTGCAAACACACATGCATGAGTTAACTAAGGAACTCTTAACATGTACTGCAGATGGGTAGCACCAAGTGGACCGCAAACGGAGGTCTCAGTAGCTCAGGACAGACTAATATGCCAAACCAAGGCAGTACTTGCAGGACATTAATGTGTGTTGCAAATGCAACCAATTTATTTAAATGCACTGCTAAAGCACCAGAGCAGGCATGCAACATTGTGTAATACTGTGCATTGGCAGTGCCATTCATTTTCAATAGCACCCAAAAGCAGTTATGAATGAACTGTGCTCGGAGATAACCTGTACTTTAAAACCACAGCTCCTGCAAAGGAGAGGTGTGAATGAGCCCAGTACTGCAGAAACAAGTGTAGTGTACTGAACATGTAAGTACACCTTATGCTTGTTTATTGTGGAAAAAAGTTCAATGCAATGCAAAACAGGTCACAAATAACATTTTAGATTTTCCCTCACTTCCAGCCTCAGAGGTCAGGTGTTATTAGCACAATCAAAGAGCAATTCTCCCCACTTGGGACACAGACAGCAATAAAAACATGACAGGGGTTCTAACCCCATCCATATATAAAACTTAAAAAATAGGGGTGCACCGAAATTTTGGTGGCCGAAACGATCCCTATCGGCCGTTGGCAGATATGAAATAAGCACCGAAACAGTTTACTGGCTTTTTTTCTATAGCTCACAGAATTAGGTGTCACTTTCCCCCAGCTAAAAGAAACAAAGTTCCTTTTAGTTTCTTTCCACAAATTAAAAGAAAACATTTCCTTTTAGTTTCTTTCCCGAGATAAAAGAAACAAAGTTGCCTTTAGCTCCAGGGAAAATGACAGCCAATTGTGTGAGCTATAGTGAAGAGAAAAAAAAAGCCTGCAATTGCATCTAAAAATCAGCACTGACAGCCATTGAGGGAGCCTCTCTGTATACACTGGCTCCTCTCCTTGCACACACTGCCCCCACCCCCCCTCGCCCCTACAAAGAGGACCTGTCACTCAAATGCTTTCACATAGGGGACAATGGATCCCCTATGTGATAGCAATAAAAGTTAATAATAATAAGTTGATATATATTTATTTCACACACATACAAGTAGAAAAAAAAATTTGCAGCCTCCCAATCCCCACATACGCAGACATTTCGGTTTTCGGCCACATGCATTTTGAATGTCAAAAGACCTATCATTATTTCTATAGCAGGGTATGCATGCATTCCTTGTGATAGGAATAAAACGGATTTAAAAAAAAAAAAAAAAAAAAAAGTTTAAAGTGCCCCGCCCCCCCGTGCTCGCATGTGGTGGTGAACATATACGTAGGCCACAACCACGTATGTAAAGGGCGTTCAAACCACACGTGAGGTGTCGCCACGAACGTCAGAGCAGTAATTCTAGCTCTAGACCTCCTCTGTAACGTTACACTGGTAACCTGTAGAAATTTTGAAAGCGTCACCCATGGAGATTTTTTAAGCACCATAGTTTGAAAGCACAACATGTTGGGTCTCTAGTTACTCGCTGTAACAGCTTTCATATTTTACAAAAACATTGGGGTAGCTTCTTTTTAATCATAAAAGTGTATTTTTTCCCAAAATATATATATTTATTTTTTAAAAAAAACGTCCAAGTCGGTTTTCAGCCAAGTGCATCCTGAATTTTCGGTTTCGAAACCAGAATTTTCATTTCGGTGCACCACTATTAAAAAATTTCAAAATAACATTTTGTGGATTTAGATATACTTTCATTTGCCAGTTTTAATGTAGGCTCTGCTAAATGCTACTTTTCAACAACAGAGCACTTCTACCCAGAGCACGAACTTTATGCAGTTCCACAGCACTGGACTTGGATATACAGTAGTCTATTAGCATCAGGCATATTGAACTCTCACTACCTGTAGTATTCAAAGTGGACCTAAATGCAAAAAGTAAAGATATGTTGCGCTATAAGCAACACCTACAAAGGGCAAAGCAGTACCCTGAAAATTTACCTTTTGTCTTTAATGCAGGCCACAGACGGGCCATTGTCGGTCGATAAATGCAAAAAACGGTCGTTGCTGCCATGGATGCTGCCACAAATGCTTATGAAAAACTACCGGTTTTTCGTGGATTTTCCAGCATGACCGATAAAAAGAAACGAGAAGATCCATGAAAAACGGCCGACGGCATTGCCCCACTAACGGCGTGAATATCGGCCGATTTTTCATTTGGATGAAAATTTGGC